ACAGCCCTTGTGCCCAACTCATGATCAGAAAAATGTCGACAGACTGGAAAGGATGTAGGAGGAACTTGTGGGGATGCTAGCAGATTTTGGAGAGCAGTTCAGATGAAGCAAAAGATGCAGAAACTGGGTTTGTGGTATGCTAGAAGTGCTGACTGCTGGATAGCTCATGGGTTTAGGTCTCCAGCTGAGGATGGGAGTTCGATTCCCCCACTGTGCCTCCTTGGCAAGGATTGGACTCTATAATCCATGGGGTCCCTTCTAGCTCTGCAGTTCTAACATGATTATTATCATTTATGCCTTTCACTTTGGGGCATGCCATTTCTTCTCTCCTTGTGACACACAGTAAAGATGTGAGTTTGCCTTTTATGAGTGTTGTGTAAATGTAGATCCGTGCTTGAAGAATTTGCTGCAGGACAGGTAGTTTCGACACAGAGCTGCGGTAGCAGAGTGGCTGAGGGCCAAGAAGGGCCCTATGGACGAGATCTGTGATTAGAAGACTCAGAACAAAGCCAAATTAAGTTTACAAAGGTTTTACAAGGTGCACTAACGATTCCAAGCATTTTAAACAGTTTTTGAACATTTTAAGACACACTTAAAATAGCAAAAACGGACCTGTCAAAACAGTTGAAATGCATTGAAACCTATTTAGTGCATTCCAATGGAGGAACCGTGTTTCGCTTAGCGATGTTTCCTATGGCAATTTTCACTTAAGGACAGTAATCCATTCCCATTGGAACGGATTATCCGGTTTTCAGTGCATTCCTATGGCAAATGGTGTTTCGCTTAGCGATGTTTTCCCATAGCGATGTTTTTTTGGGAACTAATTAACATTGTTAAGCGAGGCACCACTGTACTGGGAAAATAGTGTGGAGGAAAATATTTTATTCCATGTCCCACCACCACTAGCAGCTGCTTTTTACCTGTCACAAAATAATCTGAATTTGAGTTTTCTGATTCTGTTTCAGGCATGAAATTTGTCGAAGGAGAAAGATTCTTTGTAAGCTGGATAAAAGGAAGTATTTTTCCCTAGGAGTCAAGTAGTGGAAATGCAGTATGTGTTGGGTTATAGTTCCTATGGGCCCTGTCTTGCACTGTAGTACACCTGTTGGGAATTATCATACAGAATAATACTTAGTTGATCTAGTAGCTAAGTTCTGTATCTCCATTAGAAGAACTAGTATTTGTGCCTCAGTATCATACTATAGTTGTATAGGTTCATAACGAACACCTGGCAATCATTCCTGGGGACAATGAAATAAAATCTCAGCCTAAGGAGTTTTGATTTTACTGGTCGGCATGCTATTGGTACTTGTATAAAATTTCTCTAATTTGATGTGGCTAATTGATGAGGGTATGGCGTGTGTCTTGGTAGAATGCCTGGTCATGTGCCCAGCTATACAACCAAAATGAGCCCTGGCACCTCATCAATTACATACAGTTAGCCACAGCAAGTTTGTGCAAATCTTAGATGATCGCTAGTAGGAATATGAGTAGGATTGTATTTATAGAACTTGCCTCCCACCCATTATTTTAAGCAATAACATAATAACCATGGAACAGCAGAGATTGTATAAAGTGAAGAAGCATCAACAAGAATTGAGTAAGAATAAGGTAAAGGTTCCCCTTGACATTTTTAGTCCAGTCATGTCCGACTCTAGTGGGTGGTGTTCATCCCGTTGTCAAGCCATAGAGCCAGCGCTTGTCCGAAGACAGTTTTCCGTTGTCACGTGGCTAGCGTGACTAGGGAATGCTATTTTACCTTCCCACCAAGATGGTACCTATTTATCTACTCACATTTGCGTGCTTTCGAACTTCTAGGTTGGCGAGGAGCTGGGACAAAGCGACGGGAGCTCACTCCGTCGCGCGGATTCGATCTTACGACTGCTGGTCTTCTGACCTTGCAGCACAAAGGCTTCTGCGGTTTAGCCTGCAGCGCCACCATGTCCCGCTGCTTAGTGTAATAAATTACAATTAGAGTAGGCCTGTTTGAATCAATGGAGTTGACTCACCAAATCACCACTGATTCAATGGGCCTACTCTAGTGTGAGATACTATAGTAAGCTGGAACACACACATGTGGGACTGCACAGTAAGTTTTTGGGTTCATGGACATATTTGAGACTGCAAAAGCCTCTTCCTCAGAACACTTTGCATTATTGGTTGTGGAAGGGTTTCCTGTTGCCGTTGTGGATTACATTGCCTTTCCTGTTGTGTGTGAAACAGTTTTAGGTGCTGGTTCTCATCCCTGTGGCTCTTTGTTTCCTTTTACCAATCCAAGACACTCATGTACGGTTGTTGTTTTTGTTTGTGAAGTGTCCTTTCAGGAGACAACAACAATAATAACAACAAAAAAACCACTGATGGCTGCGACACCACGTCCCCTGTAAGAATAATGCAGCTTAAATTTAGAAGCCCCAGATAAAGCAACAGATCAATAGTACCTAAAGAACAAAGCATAAATATAAGCACTTACAAGCCTACTGGTAGGTTCAGACAAATGAACATATCCTCTGCCTTTCACTGGAAAGATCTCACACTCAGTTCCAGGAAAGAGTATCTAAATATTGCTTATATTCCATGCCACAAGACACACACCCCAAACAACCTTCCCTCCACAGATGAGGAGATGTATGGTATATGCCACCATATATGCCCCCATACAAGCTTGTACATATCTAAGGTAAAGGTTCCCCTTGACATTACATATCCTCTGCCTTTCACTGGAAAGATCTCACACTCAGTTCCAGGAAAGAGTATCTAAATATTGCTTATATTCCATGCCACAAGACACACACCCCAAACAACCTTCCCTCCACAGATGAGGAGATGTATGGTATATGCCACCATATATGCCCCCATACAAGCTTGTACATATCTAAGGTAAAGGTTCCCCTTGACATTTAGTTTAGTCCTGTACATATCTAAGGTAAAGGATCCCCTTGACATTTAGTCCAGTCGTGTCCGATTCTAGGGTGCAGTGCTCATCCCCAAGCCGTAGAGCCAGCATTTGTCCAAAGACAGTTTCCGTGGTCACGTGGCCAGTGCGACTAGACACGGAACACCATGACTAGAACATATCTAGTCTTGCCTGATTTCAGAAGCAAAGCAAAACTTAGGAGTTGGATGAGAAACCACCAGGAACTCCAGGGATCTCTACCTGGTGTGGAGAAAAACTCTGCTTAAAACATGGAGAATTGCTAAGTCAGACTTGGTGGTATTGAACTAGATTGGCCATTTCCTGTGTTTCAGGGATTGGGCCAGCTCTGATTAGGAATGGTTTCAGGCAAGGCATGCGGTAGAAGGCGTTGCTTCAGGTACCCGGGTCTCAAAACCACTTAGCATTCTCATACCGATCGCTGTGCCTCAGTGGTAAAAGCATTGTGTCCATTTGAAAGCATCTTTTGTAAGGCTTGTTATGACTTGTCTGTGTTGCACATGCCATATTACACAGACTTCCACTCAGATGTGAAATTATGAGCTGAATTTACTCTCCTTGCATGCATGTTATTATATGATGTTCTAGCTGTAGTATAGTTTAGAGGGGTTTTTTCCATTCTCCGCAGAGCTGAAAACTCAGTCTTTGTCTTTTGATGGTGGGGGGTGGGGGAGTGGTGACTATCTTCTTAACTATGGTGATAATTAAAATCTAGTACAAAGTTTGATGTAGTGGACAGAGTGATAGACGAGGACGGTGGAGACCAGGGTTCGAATCCCTATTGGGCCATGGAAACTCACTGGCGGCGTGGAACTGATAAAACCACGGCTTAAATATTTCACTTACCTTGAAAGTCCTATTAGGGTTGCTGTAAGTCCATTCTGACTTGATGGCACATAACGAACTAACTAATTAAAAGCAAAAATGCAACCTGTTTGGCAAGAAAAGCAGGATGGCAGCAAATCTCTTCAAGGCAATGTGTTTCAGATAGGTGAACGTGCTTCCTGACCTGTGAGTGTTTTGCCACAGCTTTTCTGCTTGAATTGCCTTGGGAAGTGACACACACCCACACACCCGTTGCTGTAAGAGTTGTGTAGAAACATTATGTGCACACATACACAGAAGGACAGGCGCACTAGTGCATTCCGGTTTCCAGCTGCAGCTCACAATGCCTTTATACTCCGATTTCCTTCTAAATAGAGCTGGAAAGTGCACAGCAAAGTGGAACCACAAGGATCAAGGGTTTGGAACAACCAGTCCCCTCGTGAGGAAAAATCACAAGTGCTGGCCTCTCTATGGTGTTTATCTTTAGTCCATGGGAGGGGGGCTTTTTCCTTTGAGAAGTGGTCCAGTTGCAGGGCGAGTGGAATGGGAGGGGTAGAAATCCCACAACTTGCTAAAGTTACTCAACTTTAGGTATCAAATTTTTGGATTTTTTTTCACTACAGCGATCACAGTTCACCAGGAATTTCTCCAGCTACAATTCTGGCAGCTGTAGCCAAAAAAATCTTAAGTCCTCAGATAAGTTTCAGCACACCCACACCCACACCAATGCTGAGCGTTTTCGTCTGTGCAGCCATTGCAAAAGGAGGAAATGGTAGGATTTGCTAAGCTCTATGGTAATTACAAGGGGTTGTGGGATTGGTAGTTTGTTGGGATTTTTTTGAGAATCACCATGTACAGAGCCTCATGAGCAGAGAGACTACCTGTCCCACAAGCCCTTGAAGTTCCCATGGAATTTAGTGAATCCCACTATTCTCTCTCTTTGCAGTGGCTGCACAGAAGAAAGAACATGCTGGGCCTCATAGGAGTATGAGCTGAAACTACTCTGGGGACTTAGATTTTTTAGGTACAGCTACCAGCATTCTGGCTGGGGGATTTCCTGGTGAATTGTGACAGTTTGTAATCTGAAAGTCCCATGCCTACTGATTCACAACCAGGGATAATAGTGATCCTTTAACACATTGGTCCCCAACCTTGGGCCGATAGTGATCCTTTAACATGCCCTTACCATATAATTGAATGGCGAGGGGGGGCATAAATGTGCACTGAGAAAATGGAAATGGGTCGTGTTGGAAGGAACAGTGCCATTAAGGGAAGGAAATGCCTTGAGTCATAGAAAAGTGAAGTTGGAAGGGGCCTACAAGGCCATCAAGTCCAACCCCCTTCTCAGTGAAGGGAGAGCAGAGTCCCAACTCCTGACATTATGCCGCCTCTTGGTTCTGAGGGGTGATCTGATTTCCAGAACAAAAACAGTTCTTCATCTCTTCCTTAGTCTCTAGCCTCATCATCCTGGGATATGAGCAAAGATATCAGTTGCCACCTCCTCCTTCCCTCCGAGACTGCCTGAGGCTTACTTCTCTCCTCGCTTGGACCAGGAAATATATGCCCAAAAATACCCTTTCATTTTTTTAGTTATCTCAGGAATGCTGCTTTTTAACTTACAGTACCCTTTCATTTCTTTAGTTATCTCAGAAATGCTGCTTTTTAACTTACAGGTTTTAACTGATTTTAAATTATTTTTATACTTGATTACTTTAATCCTAATATAGGTTGAATTGTTTTTTAATTGTGATGTTTATATGGTGTTTTAAAATTTCTTATTTTAATCATAGTAGTAATAGCAGCAGTAATAGTAATAACCTTGGAGTTTACCTTTTGTTAGCTGCCTTGGGTCCCCTATGGATTTAACTTACAGGTTTTAACTGATTTTAAATTATTTTTATACTTGATTACTTTAATCCTAATATAGGTTGAATTGTTTTTTAATTGTGATGTTTATATGGTGTTTTAAAATTTCTTATTTTAATCATAGTAGTAATAGCAGCAGTAATAGTAATAACCTTGGAGTTTACCTTTTGTTAGCTGCCTTGGGTCCCCTATGGAGAGAAAGTCTCTCTCTCTCTCTCTCTCTCTCTGTGTGTGTGTGTGTGTGTGTGTGTGTGTGTGTGTGTGTCTATGTAGGAAGGAAGGAAGGAATGAACAAATAAATTTGTTCATGAGGAATGTGGCAATTGGTTAGCAGTGTATAGACTGTGGTGGGTCCCTGTTTTATTTCCATTCTTGAGACAAGGTAAATAGCTGACTTTTCTCCTCCCTCTTCTGTTTTATCCAGGGCTGTGATTTAAGTGCGAGATGGCCAAGACCAGCCATAGCAACTATGTCCTTCAGCAACTCAACAACCAAAGAGAATGGGGATTCCTCTGTGACTGCTGCATCGCCATTGACGATATCTACTTCCAGGCTCACAAAGCTGTCCTGGCTGCCTGCAGCTCTTATTTTAGGATGTTTTTCATGAGCCAACAGCATAGCACAGCACAGCTGAACCTCAGCAACATGAAGATTTCAGCGGAGTGCTTTGATCTCATTTTACAGTTTATGTATTTAGGGAAAATTCTGACAGCTCCAGCCAATTTTGAACAGTTTAAAGTGGCTATGAACTCGCTGCAGCTCTACAATGTGCCAGAATGTCTGGAAGATATACAGGATCCAAACTCCTCTGGTTTACGATGCACCTCTTCCGCTTCCAGCACCCAAAATAGCAAAATGATTTTTGGCGTGCGGATGTATGAAGACACACTGGCTAGAAACGGGAGTGAAGCGAACAGGTGGGGGATTGAGCCGCCAAGCTCAACTGTGAGCACCTCTCAAAGCAGAGAGATGGATGATGACACCTTGCAATTCAGAAGTTTCTCTGAGCAAGCCTTGGAGAGCTGCAAAAGGAGCATTCTGCCAAAGCTGTCCAGCTCAAAAGATCGCGTGTCCAATTCGCGGCGCTTTGGAAGAAGCTTCACGTGTGATGGCTGTGGCTTTAGCTTCAGCTGTGAGCGGCTTCTAGACGAACACACCATGTCATGTACCAACAGGCATGCGTATCAGAACACCAGGTACTATGGGGCGGAAAAAAAAGACAGCAGTGAGAGAGACTCTAAAATGCCGTCTTCCCAGTTGGATAAATACAAAGGAGATGCCAGCCAAGCTGCAGACCGATCTTCATCCCCATCATCAAATGTAACAAGTGGGAATGGCAGCGCCATCTCATCAGAGCCAATACGGGAAGAGCGAAGTAGAGCCGCTGAGAGGAAAAGGATTATTGTCAAGATGGAACCAGACGACCATCCTGTGGGGGGCCTGAAAGAGTTTGATATTATTAAAGTGACAGACGGCAACGACTCCACTGACAATGATGAATTGGATGATGACGAGCCAGTTTACAGATACTACATCGAGGAAGAGATCGATGAAAACAGAAGTGTGCGAAAAGCTCTCTTAAAGCCCCATATGCCTATGGATGAAGAGACGACAGAATATTTCAGGAGCACCAGGACTCTTAACAATAAAGTGAATGTTGTCAAGGAAGTTGTCGAAAACACATCCTGTGAACTGTGTGGGTTGACAATCACAGAAGAAGACCTGTCTTCTCACTACTTGTCCAAACACATAGAGAATATATGTGCATGTGGGAAGTGTGGCCAGATACTAGTTAAAGGGCGACAGCTGCAGGATCATGCCCAGAACTGTGGAGAGCCCCAAGACCTCACCACCACTGGCCTGAGGAACATGGAGGAGAAACTGGACTTGGACGAGAGCCCTGAGGAACAAGCAGAAAACCAAGAGATGATGTATGTTGAGATGCTAGATGAGTTTGGGGACGGCCATTTCCAGATTAACAGTCTTCCAAAAAAGCAACTGTACAGGGATTCAGCTTGTCCTTTCCGGTGTCCTAACTGTGGCCTCCGTTTTGAAACAGAAAATTTGGTGGTTGAGCACATGTCCAGCTGCCTGGAGCAAGACCTGTTCAAAAATGCTGTTATGGAAGAAAATGAGAGGGATCACCGACGTAAGCATTTCTGCAATCTCTGTGGGAAAGGGTTTTATCAACGTTGTCACTTACGGGAACACTATACTGTCCACACCAAGGAAAAGCAATTTGTTTGTCAGACGTGTGGGAAGCAGTTTCTCAGAGAACGCCAGCTGCGCCTTCACAACGATATGCACAAAGGCATGGCCAGATACGTCTGCTCCATTTGTGACCAAGGAAACTTCCGAAAGCATGACCACGTCCGGCACATGATTTCCCATCTGTCGGCCGGAGAGACAATATGCCAGGTCTGCTTTCAGATTTTCCCAAATAACGAACAACTTGAGCAGCACATGGATGTCCACCTGTATACATGTGGTGTCTGTGGCGCCAAATTTAATTTGCGGAAAGATATGAGATCTCACTATAATGCCAAACATCTAAAAAGAACATGAGCAGATACAGTGCTTATGAGCAAGAACTGAAGCAAAAGGAAAGGAGCACCAAAGCAAGGCAAACTGTAGCCGTAAATGAAATTAAATGACGTATTATAAATTGTCTGTTCTTTTTTAAAAAGAGCTATTAGGACACCTGCATCTTCATTTAAGGTCTTAAAAAGTACATGCCGTTGAAAAGCACCAAACCCTTAATTATTGCATTTTAACTCCTGCCTTCTGGCAATTTCTGTTTCTATTTTTTTCCTGCTTAAGAAGATAATTTGAATAATTATTTTTAAACTCTAGATTTTAAAAGCACACTGTAGTATATCAACCCAGTCACTGGCTTCTATTAAACAGCTTATCAGTTATCTCTATGTGGGATGTCTGCTTTTATATTTCCATTTGTGGGTGTTTCCTTTCATATGAAAATCTGGATTGCGTATGGTTTAATATGTTCAGAGAGTAGATACTGCCGAGAAGAAACTTTGCTGCAGACCAGCAAAGAGTGAGTTGAGCATACTTACATGTATGGAAGTAAATGCAACAATACTGGTCCCTGTTGCTATTGCTGAAATGGACTAATATGGTTACCTCTCTGGAAATAAATGGGCTAGTTTTGGATTGTACTCATTAGGTTTCTGGTTTCTGTTGCAAGTATAGGCCACCACTAACATCTTGCTATTGTTTGTTCCTCATGCAACACAACACACTGAGTGAATTTAATTATTTCTGCAGTGCTGCCTTGTGGTTGAATGAGGACAATGAGGAAGATTGCACATGTAGGAAAATTCCCCACTACAGAGGCATGGTTCACATTTTCCTGTCTAGTTTAACTGCCTGTATTAGTAATGTGATAAGACATTTTTGCAGTATAAAAATTGAGATGTTGTAGCTCAGGCACATCATAGACTTTTGGGCTGTAATCTAAAAGCTGGTGAACTCCAGTGAACTTTGAAATTAAAGTAAGTGTGACACATACGTATATATCTGGTTTATGAAATGGAATGAGCAGTCTAGTTCTATTTAACAGGAAGTAAATCCTATAGAGTTACTATATGGGTCTCCCCAACTCCTAGGAAGTGTGCATAGGATTATGTTATTAAACTTCATCTGGATATTTTAAAAAACGAAGCCTTGTTTTTTCAGTGTTTGCATTCTCCTAGGCTTAGGAAGGGAAGATAATCATTTAATGAGTTGTTTTTCCTTGTGATTCAGAAATGGTGGGTTTGACTTGGAACTGACAGCTAGAATTTAAGTACCACCTCTGCCATCTCCCGGCCTCAGTTCCATTTTCTGTTAACCCAAAGGAATGGTTTTAAACAGTGGTTCTTAACCTTTGTTACTCGGATGTTTTTGAACTGCAACTCCCAGAAACCCCAGCCAGCACAGTTGGTGAAGGCTTCTGGGAGTTGCAGTCCAAAATTCCTGAGTAACCCAAGGTTAAAAACCAGTGGTTTTAAAGATTTGACTAAATAAAGTGAGTATTAGGAAGCATTTGCCTATTTAATGAGCTATAAGTATAAAGGAGGTAGACTGCCCATAAGATTATATTCATGCAAAATGAAACACATTTATGCATTCAGTCCCTGTGTTATACAAATTCTACCAGTTTGATCCTGACCTGATTTCCATATGGGTGTTAAAGGTGACCAGAGACCAAACCAGTCAGTAATGAGGCCACAGTTGCTTGTAAAAAGTATTTTGCCTCAGTTACATGTAAAATGTGTGCGCAGTGAGCTAGAAGGGTATGTATCAAAAAAGGACTTGAATCTTGTCAAGTTCAATGTGTAGACTCCCCACACCGACCTGTGCTACCAGAAGCAAGCCTTCAGTATGGCTCTTCAGTTTTTTCTACTCTGCTCCAAAGAAGATTTTTCTCCAATAAATCGAGATGTTGACGGACAGGTACCTCATAAGCCTCTTGTCTGGGCTACAATCTAAAGAAAGGTTATCTACAAAATAAACCACATTCAAGCTAATCTGGGCCAAGGGTGCAGGGACACCCAAGAAAAAGGGAAAATCAGGATTACTCTCCAGTCTAATCTGAGGGAAATTTCACACACCCTTCCTTCTAATGGTGTGGTCCATTAGAACTTGGAGGTGATGCAAAAGCCACCCGCCAGGTTTTCCCGAAAGGAAAATACATGGATGAAGCCACAGATAACAATATGTTTGGGTTTTTTTTTTTAATTATGCCACCCAGCCTGGTACCTCCACATACATTTGCCTAGCATTCAGCAAATACTTTAAGAACAGCAGTGGTTGTAATTTGTGATGCACAAATCGGCATGGCAGCCCAGGATTCATTCTTTACTTCCAATTAAACCTGTTAGAAAAAGCCCATTAAATTCAGAGAACCTGACTTCCAAGTAAGTAGCGGCGAGACAAAGATGTAAAACTCAGGTAAAGGATATGTAGCACTTCAGGCTCACAAAATCTGCAGTTTTTAGAAGTTCAGAATCTGCCAGCTAATGCAGCAATGGGTAGCTGGCCCAGTGCTCCCATGTAGGCCAGATATGGCCCCTGTTACGGTGAGAAGAAAGGAGGCCCAAGGAGAGTCAATTGCGAGCAAAGGAACAGGCAAGAATGGATGAATGATACAGTTTCTCTGATCCACTGATCCTATGCTGGCTGTGTTCACAGCAAAGATATAGGAATTGCAGTCCAAAGAGTTAATTCAGCATTGGCTCAAATCATTGAAGACTTTGCATATTTAAGAACCCAGGTTCAATTTCCATCTAGGACTAGGAGGGAAAAAAAGTCCAGCTTGAAGCCTTGGGAAGATGACACTGACCAGGGCTGCACTATAGACCCCCCCGCCAGCAAAATCTGCAGCAGTTCATAGCCATTAGGTTCTCGAGAGAAGGAAGCCGAAAAGACATAATCGAGATCATGCGTGTATTCTAACCTACAGACTCCAGTGGTGGAGTGGAACTGGAAAGCCAGTTCTGGTAGGACAAGACTTCTGTCCTAAGGTAAGGTTTAATAATATTTTATTAATACAGGCCAAGCTCTCCATGGGAATAGTAGGAAATGGAGCGGAACAGGCTGTTCCGCATTACCCTCGTGGTGGTATTCTGGGGCATATTATGAAAAAAAGGACAAATCTGGGTAAATACAAGAAATGGAAAAGTTATTTTTGTACTTCATTTGGACTTTGACTCAAAGCCGGAGAACAGATGACAAGCTGCTTGATTTTATATGTTACAGAAGTCTGCATTGTTTCCAACCCCAAACTATTTACATCTTTTCAAGGAATACATGAGCGCCATCTGATGGTTGATTTTAAAAGTGCATGCTTTTGAACCATAGCATTGTCTGCATTGATGCAAATTCAGGGCATGAAGAGGTTATATCAAGCTCCATTTCCAAAGACCACTTCTGAAACAATAATTAGCAATTTTACTAATTTCTGTAACCCCTGCTTTGCTATGACTGAACCAGCCACATTATGTGACATAGCTGATAGCACAAGCTATGATTATAATACCCTTCTAATTACAATGCAGCTAGCTGTATTCTGGCTATTTGTTTTATGTTGGCTATAGAATCGTACTCAGAAGGTGATGATTAATCGGTCCTTCTCTAAATGGAAGGAGGTAACAAGTGGGGTACCCCAAGGCTCAGTCCTGGGCCCGGTGCTCTTCAATATTTTTATTAATGATTTGGATGAGGAAGTGTAGGGAATGCTTGCCAAATTTGCAAATGACACCAAATTAGGTGGAACACCTAATACCATAGAAGACAGAAACAAAATTCAAAATGACCTTGATAAGAGAGCAGGACATACAACAATGGGCAGGACATGCAACAATGGGCTCAAGTTAAAGGAAGCCAGATTTCGGTTGAATATCAGAAAAAAACTAATTGCTAGAGCAGTGTGACAGTAGAACCAGTTACCTCGGGAATTGGTGAGTGCTCCAACACTGGAGGCATTCAATAAAATGTTAGATAATCACCTGGCAGATATGCTTTGGTTGTATTCCTGCATTCAGCATGGGGTTGGACTTGATGGCCTTGTAGGCCCCCGTCGTCCAACTTCACTTTTCTATGATTCTATGTTAAGTGGTCCAATAAAAGGCATCACGTACTCTTGCATTTGTGTTGAGACGTAGTACATACTGTGTAAAGTAATACAGAGCACACATTTCTGTTACGCGTGCTTCTGCGTAGCATGATTTTTATAGTTCTTGTTCAGCAGAGAATGCCACATCTGCATAGTGTAAGATGTCATGTGAGTAAAAAGAAAGAATATGCACTTGTTCTTCCACTATGCAGGCACTGACCAGCAAAGTAATACCTTATTATGCCTCTGTGACTGCTTCCATAATATTAGTTACTGAGACTGATAGTTCAAACCTGCATGCCTTTTGTTATCAAGCCAAATTAGCCCATTAGGTTTGAGAGACTTCTAATTTAGCACTTGCATGGGACAGTGAAAAGATTGATTCAGATTTTTTGTACTGTGATTCTCTCGCATTCCATTTTGGCTTGCTTCACAGAGTGCTAGGACATAGTTTCCAGTCCTGTAGATATGCCTGTCCTTATAGTTGCTACCACATAGTGTCGCTGCTGCTCATATGAAGGAAAAACTATTAAATTCTTGTTGTTGTTGTATAGTCGCCAAGTCGTGTCCTACTCTTCGTGACCCCATGGACCAGAGCACGTCAGGCCCTCCCGTCTTCCACTGCCTCCATTGTAATCGAAAGCCAGTGGATTAGGCACAGAACACATGATGACATACTGGACCCACATATGCAGCCAACATCACACACTGATCCCAAAAAAGTGGCAGGGCAGCATAATGGCTGCCCACTCATCCCACTCCTGCTTTCTTTACTAGAGGAAGAGAACTTTTCTGCTTCTCTCAGAGTACCTACCTTCCTATGTGTGCGTCAGTGTGAGAAAGAATAGGTCTGTGTTTATGTGCCCCTGTGTAAATACATACTCAGTTTTACCCTGAGATTCATCTATCCTTCTTTGGCACATCATCATCATCATCATCATCA